AGAGCTGACAGTTTTCCTGCTGCTAGTGTGACATCTTCAGCAGCTTTATTGAAGAATTCTAGGAAGGTTCTTGCAAAGAAATCACAGATTGAAGGTAATATCTATGCAGGCACAAATGAACAACAAGAAAGTGGAAGAGCTGACAGTTTTCCTGCTGCTAGTGTGACATCTTCAGCAGCTTTATTACAAAAAGTCAAAGCAATGATGACAGGAAGTCAGCCAGAAATTTCTGAAGTTTTCAAGATTGTTTGAAATATATGGGTTTCCTTCTTTTTATTAATTATGAACCTCCCCTTAGGTGTTTAATATACTATTGCACATGTATATAATTTATTTATGATGAATCATAATAAAAATTTTACAGGTAAAAAATGGTCAAATATTGGCAATTTCACATCATTTATTTAAAAGAAGAAAGAATTACATATAAATATGGTGTTTGCCCCCAATTTTTGTTTCCTAGGTGTGCTGCTTAAGTAGATTTGAAGCCTACTCGGTTAGAAGGGATTTATGCTTAAGTTAGAATCTCCATAGGAAATGGTTAGTGAATACAAATAAAATTATAATTACAAGAAAGTGCTGTTTGTATAATAGAGACAACAGTGAACAAAGAGTTAGAGAAGGGGTGGGTAGCAGGTATTGGAATCCTTAGGAGAAGCCTTCATAGTGGGAGTGGGACTAGTAAGTATAAAATCTTCATCTGAAGCCAAATACAAATTGTTTTAATTATCTGCACTGTTTCTCACCACAAGTAGTATGGATAATTGACAGTTGGCTAATTTAAATTTTTGTAATCTTGTAGCCATAGAAACTCAAATTTATTTGATCAAATAATTCTAATGCACTCACTAGTATACTTTGAAGGAAATCACATCAAAACCAGAGAGCTAAATATACTTATAAAATTAACTCCTCTGTGTTTTTATGTCAGTGTTTTTCAAACTGGAATGCAGTCCATTGGTGAGTTCTGAAATTAATTTATTGGGGCAAAACTCATATTTTTTAAAAAATGAAGTAAAACAGTAGAAATATGGGAGTACATTGTACAGAGTAAGGGTAGTATTATTTAGAGAAATGTATATTTAATTTCATATGAATGCTCGGTTGAGATGCAAAATGTATTTCTTACTAAGGGTTGAGAAAAAAATTGAAAGTCATTATTTATAACTTGGTAGTATGAATTTATGATAGTGATTGTTCACTATTAACCGGGAGACTTGAAAGTCAGGGTCCTGATTCTTATTTTAAATTTTCAAAAGCTTTAAGTCCTTTAGCAATCTTACTAGGCTTGCATCTAAGCAGGCTTCCCCCCTGCCTAATTCCAGTGCATTTATTTGTATTTTCATTCTTTCTTCTTCAGTCCTTTGAACACTGCTGAATTGATAAATTCAATTTTTTTTTCCTCCAAATTTATACTGCAAAGAGGAACCAACTGGCTTGAGTAGATCCATTACACTGGAAAGTATGTACTCAGATTATTACTACCTTCTGCAATAATTGATAAAGCATAAACACATGTCAGAGTATACTTAAAGTTGAACCATTATACCAAATTAATACCAAATCCTCAAATTTATTACAAAAAACACACCTTAGTTTTTGGTTTGTTTTCTAGATTGGCTTTAACATCCATTCATTCAGTTCCTTCAGTTCAGCAGTCAATTTATTGAGTGTCTGCTTTGAGCAAGGCACAGCATGAGTAATTGCTAGTAGGCAATGGCAAGCTGAGAAGGGTGGCATCAGCCTGCTGTGGTCTTGTAGCTATTTGTCAGGGTTTTGAGTGGTGGCACGTGAGGTGGACGGTGCCGGAGCTCTCCACTCAGAATAACACTGCTTCTTAACCCTGTCTCCCATTTTTGCTTGCTGACTGACCTTAAGTTATTTAAACTCTTTGAGCGTCTGTTATTTTCTTAGTTGTTAAGTGAGGAAATCCCCACATAGGATTTTTTGGAGTGTGGCACATAGTAGTTAAGAACCTATTATTCCCCTCCCCTGTTCTTTCATTTCTTATGCAGCTTTTCTTACCTGCCATCAAATACTGGTTAGGTCCCATCTTGAGGCGAGAAACGATTGCTTTTTAAAGAACGCATCTTTGAGGCCCTTGTGTCTGAGGTTCGCTGCAGAGTGCCCATCTTGGAAGTGGCTGGTGATGCGTGAGAGGGTTGTGAAGCTAAGTGGGTATAGGGAAAGTGAAGGAAAATGGTCAGGACTCAGATGTTCAGAATCTTGCTGAGCATTTGATGTAAATATGCACATGCGCCCAGGTGTTCCTTGATTATTGACTAATGTTATTGCGTATGTGTCCTGGGTTATGGACTTAAGTATAAAGGATGAGTTGCTCTGATCCATGGTGCCTCCCGCCTCCGGGAGGCCGCTATTGCTGCTAGAAGCTGTTGCTGTCAGTGTCCCCGGGACGCCCCAAGAGGCCACCGCCACTGCTGCTTCTGAGAACTGAGTTTGTGTCTCTGCCGATGGCTCCCACGATCTTTCCCAATTACCTAGCATGGACCTGCCTGTGAGGGGCCTATGACCCAAGCCTGGCATGTGAGGGGTTTGGTGACCCAATCTGTACAAAGGGTCTGTGGGCCCTGAGCCTTAGCACTACTATTGCTGTAACCCTACAGTGGCCTTCCAGCTTCTCCTCAAGCTGCCCTCTGAACTTTGTATTAATACCTCTAGTGTTTTTGTAAATGGTCAGCAATCTCCCTGTTTCTTTCCTATGCCTGTGTTTGGGTGTAGGGTTACAGCAATAGCTACACTAATTGTCTGGCTAGGGTTATTGTCGGAATCTTGCCAACATAGCCAATTGTATGGCTGGGTTAGGGCTCACAGACCCTTCAAACCCACTGTACAGGCTGAGTCACCAGACCCCTCACACGCAGGTACACTCTCTAGGAATTGGGAAGGATCCCAGGAGCCACTGGCAGATGACACGAGCTCAGTCCTCAACTTATTCAGTGGCAGTGGTGGTCTTGGGAACATATAGGAAAATGGTCAGGGCCCCTCAGATGTTCAGAATCTTGCCGAGCATTTGCTGTAAATATGCTCAGATGTTCGTTGTTACTACTTAATGTAATTGTGTATGGGCACTCAGGTGTACTGTGTACTGGGTTATGATCCACTGGTGCTTCTCAGAACTCTCAGAGAAGCCACCAGGACGGCTGCTCCTAGCTCTAAATAAATCCTATTAATTTTTTTTTGTCTCTTTTTGTGACGGGTAAGGGGATCGCAACCCTTGGCGTGGTGTCTGTCGCCCGCACTGCGCTCAGCCAGTGAGCACACCGGCCAGTCCTATATAGGATCCAACCTGCATTGGGAGCGTCGCTGTGCTCCCAGCGCCGCACTCTCCTGAGTGCACCACTGGCCGGCCCCTATTAATTTTTTACTCATGGCTCCCCGGACCTTTTTCCTATTACCTAGCTCGTAGACCTGCATATGAAGAGCTTGTGACCCAGTGTGTACAACGGGCTCCAGGGGTCTGTGAGCCCTAGCTTTACAGGCGGGTGGTGGCGGTGAGCAGCCTACCCGGGCATCAGGGGGCGTGATCACTGTGGATCAGAGCCACTCATCTTTTATACCTAAGTCATAACCCAAGACACCTGGGTACACATGCACAGTTACATTAGGCAATAACCAAGGAACCCTTGGGCACACGTGCATATTTACATCAAATGCTCGGCAAGATTCCGAGCCCCCGCCCCCCCCATGGACCTTGACCGTTTATCTTTCATTTTCCCTACATTGGGTTACTTAGAATTACCGTCTTGATTTGAGGAATCTGTGTGGGTATTTTCTGCCCCTAAGTAACATTAAGGAAATAGCCTTCTTGGCTCTGTCACCGTTTATGGTTTCTCAGGACCTCTTTTCTTCATCTGTAAAATGAGGGGCTGGGTTAGCTATTTGTAATTACTTTAAGCATTTAAATTTTACTGTTCCCAGGAGTTGGGTTTTCTGTTGTTCATTCAGTAATTTATATTCCTTGAAACTCTGCATTGGCGGTTATTTTTTCCTCTAACAATAGAAAGTTCCCTTGCAGATTTTGGTTTTTTCTTCCTCCATCTTCACGCAAAGGGGAGGGTTCCTCAGAAAAATAGGCCCAGGCAGGTTTGGAAGAAGCTCACCAAGGCAGGGTGGATCTGTATTCTCTCTGCACATTTCCGCAGAATGTCTGGCTGGACAAACTTGATCCATTCCCTCCGTCCCTGCAGTCCCTACTTTGGTTGCCTCAGGGAGAAAAAAGTCTCTTGCCCATTGAATGTGGCCCGGAAAGTCCCTGCAGGGGCCAGCCACTCTCGGTTTACACTCAAGGTCTACACCAGTGGTTCTCACCTGGGTATTTGTGGAAATGCAGTTCCCACGTCCCACACTTAAAGCCCCGATTCTGTGTTTGAAACCAGCAACACTGGTGATTCCCTGCTGCATGTGAGCTTCAGTGGATACACTTTGAGAAAATTTGGTTTAGAGTGTGCTCACTTGGCTATTTGAAAGATGGGCGGGCGAGTTTAATCTTTATGAATGGTCTTCCTTTGACAATGGCAAGCTTACTTCTTTCATGTTGGTAATATGGATGAATTTTTGATTTTTATGGAAAATAATTTTCTGCCTGGTAGGCTTGTCTCTCAAGTCAGGCAAAACTCAGTGTTTTTCATTTTAAGACCACTTGCCAGAGGCTACGAAGAGGATTGAAACATATGAAGTGTGATGTTCAGTGCCTTGCCAGAATTTGAACGTTAAGCAATTTTAATCCTTTTATGTTGACTCCTGTGTTGTTAATTCTGTGTTAGGCTCTTAGGCTCAAAGCAGATTAAGAGATTAAGTTGGATTTTGAATACTATGTAAATATTTTGTTGGGTAAATTAGTTAATATATTTTTAAATGTTTCAATTATTGGACATGAAGATTTGGAGGAGGAAAAGAAAACTCCAGAAGATAAAAAATGGTTTATTTTAGCAACTTGATTATTTTACTAATACTTTTTCCATGTAATCATTGCTATTCAGGGTGAAAAGTTTGGACCCTTTGCTGGAGAGAAGAGAATGCCTGAAGACTTGGATGAAAATATGGATTACAGATTGATGTGGGAGGTAAAGATGTGACTGTTATTTTTAATATTAAAAATGTTTCTCTTTATACTGTTTAACATAGCCTTATAAATGAGTTAAACAGTGTGCTTCCAGTTGAATGTTTAAGTATTGAAATGTTTTAATTTTAAAGAACCTGAGTAACTAGAAAGCTTAGGCTGTTGAAATATCATACAAGACAGTTCTTTCACAACTTTACAGTTGAAAAAGATTTCCATGTATAAGCATGTTTGGATTTCAAAATGAGCATGCACTGGATTTAGAATTTGACTTCTGTAAATGAAATTATACTTTCCCTCTAAGTTTTATTTCCCAATTGAAGTTCTAATTGTATAGAAACAATTCTGAGTTCCATGTGTTAACAAAAATCGCACCTTAAAATGTACCTTGCCATTAAAAACATATATTTAAAGAACAGTGAACTGTGACACTGTAGTCAGTCTTTCGCAATCTGAAGTTTCCTTATGCAGGAATCTGTATCTGCAAGTGTATGTCTGTACATTATGAAAACTTTCATCCTAGTTTATGCCAATTACATTTGTTGCCGTTTTTTCCTAGTTATTACAAGAAGGGCCTGAGAGATGGAAATAGGAAAGCAGAGGTGTAGAAACTATTGAAACAAAATATTGGAAAGAATTATATTTGATAATTTCTATCAAAAAATTATTAAAAGCTGAGATATGTGTAGGAGGGGCTGAGAGATCATAAAATCAGAAAAGGTTGGATACTAGAGTAAGAACTACACATAGAACATTTTTCTGACTGTGTATGTATCAATCAGGGTCTCCAGAGAAACAGAACCAATAGAATATTTTATATACAGATGCTCCCCAGCTTCTAATGGGATTACATCCAGATAAACATATAGTAAGGTTGAAGAATTTTAAGTCAGACCATTGGAAGGGAGGGACTGTCTGTATATATATTTATATAAGGAGCTTGATTTCAAGGTATTGTCTCATGGGATGGAGGGGGTGGCAAGTCTGAAATCTGTAGTGCAGGCCCACAGGCTGGAAACTCACACACGATTGATGCTGTGGTCTTTAGGCAGAATTTCTTCTCCTGGAAACCTGTTCTTGCTCTTAAGGCCTTTGACTGATTACATGAGGGCCACACGTGTTATAAAGGGTAATCTCCTTTATTTAAAGTCAGCTGAGCAGATCGTCTCTCCGCCACACCCTGGGCGCCGGCCCCAGACAAACTCCCTCCTCCCGAGAGGCAGATTCCATCTCTGGGGAC